TTTCCCTCTATTTCCCAGTTCCCCAGGGGCTGCACTCCCTGCCTTCGCTTCCTAGGGCCCATCTCTATTTTTCTTTCACAGCCTCTTACATGTATACACAATGCAGAGTTCCAGATATTGTTAGACATTGGGATAAATAATGAGAAAAAGAACAAAAACTAAACTTTCCCCCTACGTGTAGTAGCCCAAAGACACAAAATTGTACTTTTTGATTTGGGGAGGAATCAGCTGCTCCAATAGCTTGTAAATGCAATCTCACCAACTAGTCAGGTTAATTAACTTTCTAGTAGTCGTGCTTTTATTACTGCTCTGTAGTCTATACAACCATTGTTCCAGATTCTAAAGTGGAACTCTAGAAGGTGTGAAAACCTTCAGGAGCCAAAGGAATGAAGGTATTTGCTGGGCTCCCCAAACAATAAGACATAATGGCATTCATTGTCATCATCACCACTATAAATATACTTCATGCATGGAAAATGAAGGGGAGGAACAAGTTTATTCCAGGGCCTCCCTTGGTGGTGCAGGCGGTTGAACACCATGCTGTGAAGCTGTCCACAGCCTCTGCAACACTGGTTGGATCCTGGCCGGCCGGTGAGGGTCCCACATGGCACTGCAGACCTCTCCTGTCTTGCCCGCTGCTCCCCTCAGCAGTGTATTTTGTCAGTCTGCCTGTTCTGTTCCCCGCTCTGTCTCTGGTGAATCCTCCCACCCTCTCGCACATCTGGCCTGAACCCCGGTTCTTGTATAAATAAATAAATAAATCTTAAAAAAAAAGTTTATTCCAGACTAATCTGAAATTTACTACAGCTGGTTAGGCTAATTCAGTTAAAATCAAATTCTTTTCTTGATTTATCCTATTCCTTTCACACATGGGAATTTGCTCTTGGCATTAAATTCCTTTATAAAGTTCCTATTGTTATGACTGGGGGTAATTTCCTGATGGTGGAGGTGCTAGATGTTTGGTTGTTCAAACAAATGGACATACTTAGAATAAGCACCCAGAGATTGCTAATTAGGTTGGTCTGTTGTCCAGAGTTCAGGAAGGGGGTTTAAGGCTCTTCTATGGCCCTGCTACTCCCGCAGGGCAGTGTTTTGAAGTATACTACTCCTGTAGAAGCGTAACTTTCAATGTCTACTTTTAAGAACACTGAAGTTTTTTAAAAGTAAAAGCATGCATGTATTTAAAAGTACTATGCACCTAATTTTAACACATTAGAGACCACCTGGGCCAGATTTTGAAATAAACCTCTTGTTTCTGTTCAATGGAACACTATTCTGAGGTCACGGCTGTTAAAACCTCTTAGCAACAACTTTTCTGTGTGAATTAGACCTTTCTTAGTATCATGCAACCAAAATGATGGAAACACGCTGGTTATGGAGGTGGGTTAAGGAGGACAAGTATTAATCTCTAATCCCTGATTTCAAATTTCTGAGGACATTGTAGTGTAAAACCAATTAAAACTGCTTTAATGTATTATGTGTTAGATATAATTTTATGTAATAAGATTTCAACTGAGGAAATGAACCTCTTTTTTTTTTTTTAAGATTTATTTATACAAGAACCAGGGTATAGGCCAGATGCGCGGGAGGGTGAGAGGATTTACCAGAGACAGAGCGGGGAACATATAACAGGCAGACTGACGAAATACACTGCTGAGAGGAGCAGCAGGCAAGACAGGAGAGGTCTGCCGCGCCATGTGGGATTCTCGCAAGTCGGCCGGGATCAAACCTGCGCTGCAGCGGCCGCGGGCAGCTTCACATTGCGGCGGGCGGTGTTCAACTGCCTGCAACCACCAGGGAGGTCCGCCCTCTCTTTAAAATTTTAATATGTAGCAGAATTTCTGGGGCTAGAAGTATCCTAAGAACAACCATAGTGGCAGGTGATTTGGGGCCCTAGAACTATGTCTTTAGGACCCTGAAGTTTGAAGGGAATTCTGAAAAGATGGAGAGTCTAAGGATCTGAAAGGGAACTTGGGCAGATAAATACCTACCAGATAGTTGAATTTTTAACAAAAGCAAAAATAGACCTGTAGGGTAAATGAAAAAATATCAGGCTTTTCTGCCCTCCCACCGTTAGGATTAATGATGGATCATTGGGGTCCTGAATGCATGCCTGATGGCGGGCACCTGGAATAGGGTGTGGGCATAGGTAGATGGGATTCACCTGGGCTAAGACTGGGCTTATAAGGGGGTGGTGGGGGTGGAGTCACGGGGACGCCATCAGAAGCAGAAGAACAAAAGCAAAAGTGTGAAAGAGAAGCAGAGACCTCAAGAGAACACCGAGAGCCCAGAAAGAGTGAAGATATATCGGGGATAGGAGGTGTACCAGCCTCCTGGCCCCCCGGCACCCCTCCCTGCCATGTACCTGGTAAATTCCAATAAAAGTCTGCAAAAGCCACCGAGGGCTCCTAGGACTCCTCCTTTACCCTGTCTGCTCTGTCATAGAGAACCTGCCCTGTGCTTCCTGCCGCTACAGACCACTATGTTAATAATGGTTTTAGCCTCTACAAGGTCACTGGGCCACAAGCTCTGTAATCAGGGTATCCATATTGGACCTGTTAACCATAGTATTCACAGTACCTGACACAATGCCTGGCACACAGTAGGTGCTCAGTACATCTTTGCTGAATGTATGGGTTGTTTTTTTCATGTAGTTGTCTCTACCTGGCAGCCAACTGGTTCTTTCTCTAATGAACTGGGGCTTTGATTTTGCATCCCTGCCTCACTCACCCCTGAGAGTCAAATGGTGCCTAGTTGGCCAGCAATGTCTGGCAAACACAGATACAGTGGTTGCAATATGTTTCCAATATTGCCATTACCAATGACATTTACTCAGTAGCAACTGTGGTACAAGGAACAAAAGGTTCTTGCCCTGTGGGCTTGCAACCTAAATGACGGAAACAAAACAAGTAGCTGGCAATCTGTGTTTCCTGTTGAGGAATAAGAAGCAACAACTATTTGAAATAACAGAAGAGGATTTTTTCACATTTTATAGATAAGTAAACGGAAGCCAAGAGAAATGCAGAGACTTGCCTAGTTTGCAGAACTGTCTCCAGCCTGGCCTGGAGTGTCCATCTTTTTTCTCGTGCTCTGTCCAGGTTGTTCCCACTCTATCTGATGTTTGCCTCCTTGATTCTATGTTGACCATTCAGGTTACACCTGGGTCTCTGGTTGGTAAAAGGTCTGTGGAAGGGAGGCAGCTTTAAGAATTGGAAAGAGAGAAGATTGCAAGTGGACAAGTGGACCAGGAGAAGTGGTCCCACCTGTACTGGCCTGTGAGCGCCACTGTCCTCGCCTCCAAGGATAGATACATGGTAGTTATTAGGGCCGAGGCAACTTCTTATAGCCTCTCTAGCATTTTCTTGTGCATAGGCTTTTAAAATATTACCTTCTTATAATAACGTTTTAGCTTCCTCTTTCTTGCTTAAAGTGATTCCTTGGGGGAGAGGCAGATCCCAGCTGCTAAGGGTAGTGGGGGGCACTGACAGGTGGCATCTCATCCTTTCTCCTGACTGGCATATTGCTCCACAGCCAAGCATTGTAAATAGATGGTGTCATTTGAAGTTCTTGCACTGGAAATTTCCACGTGACTCCCCCATCCTGGTTGGTCCTTCCTCACAGACCCTGCTCTCACCGCTACTTCCTCTCCATAGCAATATACTAGGTGGCCCTCTCTCAAGGGCCCTTCCAGAGAGTACCGCACCCAGTTTCTCATAGACTCAGAGATGCTCTCAGGATGAAATTTTGGTCAACAAGGGGCCTCCCCTGGTGGCGCAGGCGGTTGAGCCCAGCACTGTGAAGCTCTCCGCAGCCTCTGCAGCCTTGTTTGCAGCCTCGGTTTGATCCCCGTCGGCCTGCAAGAATCCCACAAGGCGCGGCAGACCTTTCCTGCCTTGCCCGGGCTCCCCTCAGCAGTGTATTTCAGTCAGTCTGCCTGTTCGTTCCCCGCTGTCTCTGGTGAATCTGCTCACCCTCCCACGCATCTGGCCTGTACCCCGGTTCTTGTATGCATAAATAAATAAATCTTAAAAAAAAAAAATTTTGGTCAACAGGCCCCTGATAATCCAGGGCCTACTCACCAAGCCCAGGTACACTGCCTCCTTACTGGCTGACAGAGCTAGAGGATAATGAAGGATTCCCGAACCCCCTGCTTCCTATTTGCGAACCCAAATGTTAGGTTGTCCCAACGAAAAAAACGCCAGGGGACGAAGAGTGTTTATTTAGTCTGGGAGTTGGAGAAACTCCCCTAGGTCCCAGCACCTCTGGGAGAAAGGGAAGGGGCTGCACAGGTGGCACCCATTTTTTGGAGTTTTCTGAGGCCCTAGGTTACTCAGGCCAGAGTCTGGTTATAGGGACCTACTGCAACAGCCAGTCACAACCAGCCAGCCCAGTTTTTAAACTGGCACCCCACTCCCCCCAGGATTGATAGCCATGTGAGATTGTGTATGCAATTGTAATCTTGTTTTTCCAGGGGTGAAGGGAGTTCTCTAGGAGGGGAGGAGGGGTGAAGGTTGAATGGCAATTCCTTAGAAGCTTCTTTCTGCCTGACTCATCTGCAGTGCCTGGTTTTGGAAGCAGCGCTGGGTGTCCCAGGTGTAAAGGAATAGAGCATCATGAAAGTGCTTACCAGGAGTGCAGAGATAACCGGGTTACCTGGCACAGAGGTAACTGGGTTTCCCCAGGACCAGGTGAGTAGCTTGTGTGCCAAGGGACTTCCGCGGTGAAGGGGACTGGGCCAAGTGAAAAGAACCTTTCCAGTTCTTTAAAGAAACAGCCACAACATACCTTCAAGCAGCCTTCATATATTTAGATCTTAGCCTAGCCCAAGCCTTCTCCGTGAAGCCCCGCCTCCCGGGAGCCCCGCCCACGCAGGCCCGAGGAAGCCACACCTACTAGAGGTCACCCACCCACTGGGGCCTCCAGGGTCCCCTGGGAGCCCCGCCCCAGGAAGTCCCGCCTCCTGGGGCCCGCCCAGCCCCGCAGCCGGGAGGCGGGCGCGCTCAGCAGCGGGGGCTGAGCACCCGGCAGGAGCACGCGCTGCGGAAGAGGCGGCACTGGCAGTAGGCGCAGGGGTCGCAGCAGGCGGGCGCCGGCGGCTTGCAGCTGTCGCGGGTGGCCACGCAAGCGGCGGGCGACTGGGGCCGGGGTCGCGCCGCTTTCGTCATCGAAGCCTTTTTCTGCGGGAAACGCCGGGGCTGCTTGAGCCATCCCAAGCCGCCATCCGTCCTCACCTCTGCCTGGGAACGAACTCCTGGATTATCGAGGCCCTGACGACACCCCCCCACGCGCTACCCGCTGTTCTCGAGACACCCCCAATGACCCCTCCTGCACTCCCAATCATGCCCCCCACCATGCCCATCAAAACGTATCTGGCTCAGGGCCTGGCCCCCTCCTCTCCCTAGGGGAATCTCACTCAGCTCACGGTTGTTTTGTATTTTTAATTATTTTCAGGAAACCATTTCAAAGAAATAGTGGGATAGCTAGTAGAGGTAGGCACAGGGTAATAATTTTGATAAACACAGACTGAGTTCTACAGTATTTCCCATCATGTAAGAAAGTGTCAGTTTCAAACCCCAGTTTTAACTCTGCCGTATCTGTGTCTTCCCCTTTCCAGTGTATCTGCAATCCCTGTCAGATCCTGGCCCACATCACATACTTCACTGCCACTGCCACCGCCACCCTGGGACCTAATCTGTCTTTGCTCTGGTACCCTTTCAGTACATCCTTTAAGTGCACCTGGGACCTCTGAAAATGATGGCATCTCAACTGGGCTTAAAGTGCCTTCCATCACCAAAGCTCTTTGCCCTTAAAAATGAAACATAAACTTTAAACTTTATTTTTGCCCATTATTCCACTATGGTTTGGCCCTGCCCACCTCTGACTAATCAATGACACATTCTCCCACCTGCCTTCCATTGTTTGCCCAACACAGCAAATGAGTCCCTGCTGAAGGGTCTGTGAGTTGGCTTCTCCCTTTCCTGGGGACATTCCTTGCTGTGCTGTCCAACACAGGTAGCCATTAGCCATATATGGCTACTGAGTACCTGAAATGTGGTTAGCACAAGGGAAGACCTGAATATTCAAATCTTTTTGGGTGTAGAACTGGCGTGTAGACCAGAGGTGTGGAGGTTGAGAGGATTCACCAGAGACAGGGTGGGGAAGAGACCACATGGATCTACTGAAATACACCGCTGAGAGGAGCAGCAGGGTGAGACAGGAGAGATCTGCTGTGCCATGTGGGTCAGCTGGGTGGGGGGAGGAGGATCCAACTCCTGCTGCCGTGGCTGGTGATAGTTTGATAGTGCTGAGACTTTAACCCCTGCAACACCAGGGAGGCCCTAGAAAAATTTAATTATATGTGTGGCTCACATCACATGGTATTTCCAGTGGGTATTCCTGCTGAGATTACTGAGTTTTTCAGTCTTTAAGTTGTTTTCCTTGATCACTTTTGCCTTCATTCTGTCTCATTTCCATGCTTAAATCCCATCAGAATTTATCCTTATTTGAACATATCCATTTATTGGTTTACTTACTATATATCTATTTTCCCTACAAGAATGTAAATTCCAGAGAGCAGGGATATGTCACTCTTGTTCCCTACTATATTCCCAGGACCTAATGTGTAAAAAAAGGTGTCAGTTTTGTCTATCATATTGTAACAGGGTGGTCCCAGGAAAGGGGGAGGTTCCCTGCCCCACCCAAGGGAGGGTGGAGCTGAGCAGGAAGAGGAGAAGCTGAAGAAGAGACTGAGGAAGGAAGCAGGATGGAGCCAGGAGACCTGGAGGAGGCACATGGAGCTTAGAGACACGTGAAGAAACTGCGCTTGTCTTTTGGTCGTAGACTGGGTGACACAGATGTGGGTGAGACCCATGGGGAGGTGACAATGGCAGCTTTTATCTTGATGTTGATTTTGCTCTTTTCCTTCCGGCTTGTCCGGTTGTTTGTGACCCTTTTCTGTGGGTCCCCACTGGAAGATGCTTTAGACTTGTGGCAGGCCTTGGGGCCTTGCTCTGGGCCAATCCATTTGGATGGACTTTTACCCATGAGGGGACGGGTAACTTTGGGTGCTTCATTTAGAAACTAGACTCTTGCCTTACCTGTATTGTTTCCTAGTTTTATTAAAGTTCCTTCCCATTAAAGTCTCATATGTTTTGTGTTGATGCGGCGGATGGCAGAACCCATTCAGAATAGGCAGGTTTGCGGGGGTTTGGGCTGCCCCTCTCCCTGTCCTATAACAGATTTGGCGCCCAAAAGTTACCCATCCCCTCGTGGGTAAAAGTCCATCCAAATGGGATTGGCCCAGAGCAAGGCCCCAAGGCCTGCCACAAGTCTAAAGCATCTTCCAGTGGGGACCCACAGAAAAGGGTCACAAACAACTGGACAAGCCCGGAAGGAAAAGAGCAAAATCAACATCAAGATAAAAGCTGCCATTGTCACCTCCCCATGGGTCTCACCCACATCTGTGTCACCCAGTCCACGACCAAAAGACAAGCGCAGTTTCTTCACGTGTCTCTAGGCTCCATGCGCCTCCTCCAGGTCTCCTGGCTCCATCCTGCTTCCTTCCTCAGTCTCTTCTTCAGCTTCTCCTCTTCCTGCTCAGCTCCACCCTCCCTTGGGTGGGGCAGGGAACCTCCCCCTTTCCTGGGGACCACCCTGTTACAATCTGATCTGCTTATTCATTTCACAGAAGGCCCTGAGAGGAGCAAGGGCTTTTTCAAGGTCATGCACTGTCAGGTTTTACTTCCCAATGCCTAGTCTAGGACTCCTTGAATTGGTTATAGTTGATCTGATAAACTGAGGGACACTAAATTGGAAGTAAATACATTTCAGCAAGGCCGTAGCTACTATTTCCTAAAGTGTGGGAAATTCCAGCATATGTGCAATCCAATGATGAGAAAGCATTCTTTTTCAATCTCTTTCAACTTGAAAGCTCAGTTTGGCATCCATATGCCATTAATGCCTCCCCAACATATTCTAATCTGCCTTTTAAAGCACAGTTTAGATAAACCTCAGATTTAGAACCTTTGGCAGGCAACATCAGCTAGAATTCACTTACTGTTTTTCATTTTATTCTTTTTTTTTTTTTTTGGTGGGACTCTCACCAGCGGCCGGGAATGAACCAGCGCTGCAGAGGCTGCGAGCAGCCTCACAGCCCAGCGCTCAACCGCTGCGCCACCAGGGGAGGCCCCATTTTATTTATTCTTAAGGTTACATACTATTTACAGCATTGATCCTCATTTTTTATTCAGTTATATATATTTTGAAAGTTTTAATTTATTCACTAATAAGTGAAACTTAGAGATGGCAAAATATAACAATGGTTCAAAATTACTGAGGTTTAGGAATCATTGTATTCATCCAAAAGAATGAGTGCTGGTGAGATTTCAGGCAGGGGGCTAGTTAGTAGAAGAAATTACTTTTCAGCAGGTAAGCTGTTTTGCTCAGTGAACCTCATCACCTTGGGGGTCTGGTTCAGGGATCTAGGCCAGGATGCCTTTAGATAACTTTCAGTTTCTTTTGTTGACCTGGAAAATCTTTCATTTAGTTGTGAGCCAGAGCTTGGGGTCTTCCCATTTTCTGTCTATTTTTACCCAAATAATGAGAACTCCCAGGCCTACCTTGGAAGATTTCTTTTCTGCTTCTTTTCTGCTGATCTTTTCAGACTTCTTGTTCAGAGCTTCAAAGAGAGACAAAAGGTCCAATGCCAGATGTTTCTGAGGGCCTGAGCTGCAGTAAAGTGGGAGGAGCAGAAGGGCTCTGGGAAGGCCCAGGGTAGGGGAGAGTAGTGGGGGTTGGCTAGATGAATCACAGCTTGGGATTTAGACCAGCAGGTTCTTGTTAGCCTGACTGCTGACCTGAAATCAGAGACTAAAGGCAAAATTGCCCTCTGAGGAAAGGCAAAAGGAAAATCAAAGGAGACCCTGGGATCTGCCTGTGGCACTCATGAGGGGCCTGGTTCCTTGACCTAATTGACCCTGTGTCACTCAAATTCACCCCAGATGTCCCTTCTTTAGTTTCTAGTCTGGCAGGTCAAGAATACTGTGATACTTTGAACATGGACTCTGTGTCTCCTACATGGATGGATCTGTGTTTTCTGTATTCCGTTTTCCATTTCTTAAGTGCTCTGGAGCCAGGCACACCTGATTTGATTTGAATGTTGATCCTGCCATATAACAGCTATGTGGTCTTGGGTAACATAACTGCCGTAAGACTCATCTGCGAATAGGGGTACTGTAATACCTATATTGCAGTGTTGTTTTGAGGATAAATGAAGTATGTTTATAAAGTGGAAATCTGGCACATCAGAGGTGGTCAATATTGATGTATCCGATCTCCTTCCCTGCCCTTACTTCCCTGATATAGCTAGAATATTTTCCTAGGCAAAGCAGTAAATGATATTAGTTTTGAACTTGGGTTCTGGGGCCTAAACACCTGGGTTTCAGTTCTGGTTCTGCCAATTAAGAACTGTGTGGTATTATGTTAATTATTACCTTTCATAAGTCTCAATTTCCTCAGTTGTGAAATGTGAATAAAAATATTATTCATTTCATAATGCCTAGCACATGATAAGTATTATCTGGAATTACTATTATAAAAAGGCTTTAAATGCCTTGATATTTTTCTGTGTAATCATTCTCAACCCTGGCATGACAGGACTGGTTCATCAGCCCACACTTGTTTATATTCTGCAGCATTACCCAAAGTTTGATACCATGGAGAGGAGTTCTGTGAGTCAGGAAGTTTTAGGAAATGCTAAGTTAAACCAAGTTCACCAGGGTCTTCATTTCGGGCTTTCTCAGAGCTTCTAAAATGCTAGCCATGTATTAGATTGGGGGCATGCAGTGCTTTCCCAATCAAATGAGTCAAGAGACACTGTATTCCTCTAGTATTATTTTGCAGAATGAGTAAGAAGGAGCCCATAACTATGGCAATGAATCCTGGTATCAGCCTGGGGAGCAGATTTGACTTCCTGCAGCCTCTTATCATAAGATAGAATCCAGAAGCTAGGCCCCAAGCCAGGCTACTTACCCACGATAGAGACAGAAGGGAAATCCAACAAGTTCATGGAGGACTTACTCCTGTCATCTCTGGGCTTCTCCTCAGGTGCCAGGTGGCTGCAGGCAGTGAGGAAGCACAGACAGACCAGCAGAGTGGCCAGGAGCAGACGGGTGATGTCCATCCTAGGAGGCATGAGTGGGACAGGGAAGGTAATCAGGCTGGTGGGCCAGGGGTCTTAGCAAGAGATGTGCCCTCCTGTTTTCTTTGTGTTTCTATGGGTTAGTGCTCTGACCCCATTCCACAAGTGTCCCAGTGGAACCTGAAGACTAGCATGGCTTAGAACAACGAAAGGGAATTGATGAAGAAAAAAAAAAAAAGAGAGAGATGGCCTCCCGGTGGCGCAGCGGGTTGAGCGCAGCACTGTGAGGCTGTCCACAGCCTCTGCAGCGCAGGTTCAATTCCCAGCCAGCCAGGGAGATTCCCACATGGTGCAGCAGACCTCTCCTGTCTCGCCTGCTGCTCCCTCAGCACTGTATTTTGGTCCTTCTGCCTGTTCTTCTCCCTGCTCTGTCTCTGGTGAATTCTCTCACCCTCCCAGGGCTCTGGCCTGTAACCAAGTGCTTAAAAGTGTATAAATAAATAAATCTAAAAAGAGAGAGAGAGAGAGAGAGAGAGAGAGATGGGGAGAGAAAGAGAGAAAGACATGTAAGGGAGGGCAATTGAAGCAAAGAGAAAAGGACTGCACTACAATTGGTCTCTCTCATCCAGAGGGTGAGTTGCTGTTTTGTTTTGTTTTAAAGTTAGTGGCCTCAGAAGGCCTATATCTGGGAGAGTAGTTGAAAGGTCTTAGTAGTGCCTCACAGGGCTGAGGTTTTACTAAGGTCCAGGTACAAGGCTAATAAGTTAGGATTCAGTGAGAAAAAATCAGGGGGAATGGTTCCTTTGGACAACTGTGTATGTTGTAAATGCTTTATTTCCACACCCAGAGAATATAAATACAGGTATGGTTTGTGTCAGGAGGATGGACCTGTAGATTTACTACTAGGTAGATTTTGACAGATCTCAGAATGGACTTCTTTCATAATGCATGAGTTTGGTTTAATTGGGGCTCATAGCTTCAGGAGCATCTTCATCTTCTCTGAGTGTAGACTCCCCGCCATGCCCCACCTTCCTTTTCCCTGTGCATATTCTCTCTGGTGTCTGGGCAAAAGTAGAGGCTGCTTTTCTGAGGTCTTTCCGCCCTGCCATAAGGCACTGTGGGCAAGAACAGAAAAAACGGTTTTCTTATGCTGGTGGTGTCCACTTCTGGGCATCCCTTACACTAGTCTGGTAATTTCTAACCTACTCCTCCTGGCCCTCAGCCTGGATGGAATAAAATTTCTGTATGTCTGTTATATATGTTCTAGGAGGAGGGGACACAAAAAGACATTCCCCACTCATAAACTTCCTGAAGTCTACCTCTACCCATCTCGGTCCTAATGCCAATTCTTATTCCTTTAGATCAGTGGGCTTTTACCTATGTGGGGTTGCCCTCTGCAGATCTCTTAGCACTCTACTACTAACCTGATTCTTCTCTCTACCAGCTCAGTTTTTAATGTTAAACTTCCAGGTCAGAAGAAGCTGCCACATGATGTGCTGAAGTGACATAATATTTTGAATTAAAGAAATAAATAATGAATGAATGATTCCCTAAACTTCCCGTTCTTCTAAAAGCAGCAATTTTCACTGATCCTCATCCTGTCTGTCCCTGAAAGCAGGAAATAAATCTCCATGCAAAGACATAGAGATTTATCACAGAGACCAGAGCAGGAAGCTATGTAAACAAATGCTGCTTAGCTCACTAAATAAGATGTCCAAAACAAAATTTTAAGAATTTCTTTATCCTGTCTGTTCTTCAAAAATGTATAACTTCTTTATCTAAAAACTATATAAATTGGCTGTTTCAGTTATTCAGGAAGTCCTATTTTCATAATGGTACTTCCATGCACATGAAATTAAATGTGGTCTTTTTTTTTTTCCTTCTGTTAATTTGTCTTCTGTCACTTTACATATTTTCCAGCTGTGAGGGCCTAGAAAGCTAGAGGAAGATTAGCTTCCCCAACACTTATCACGAACTGGCCAGCAATTTTCTACCAAAGCTTGGTAGTGAATCAAAAAATGAATTCTGGGCTGGGAGTCAAGAGCTCTGAGTTCTTGTTTTGACTCAGCATTAGTTAAATGTGTGTTTTGCAAATATCCATTTTCTCTCTCTCTCTCCCTCTCTTAATGGTAAAATGAAGGGAATGTGTTATGTCAGTGGTTTACATTCATTTATCAGGGGAACTCTTTCTTCAAGTAAACAGTGATTTGTACAATCCCAGTAGGTAATACAGTGTCAATAAAGAGTTTTCTCAAGCAGCTCAGATCATTTCCTCAAGCCCTAAGGCCCAGAACATTTTTTGAGGCCCTAAGGATTCCTGGCTCATGCAGTTTGATCTCTGAGGTTCCTAGCTCTTGTCAGCAATAGTTAAACCAAACAACCCTATGTCAGAAAACTCATGGGGTTGAGGTGCAGTTATTTGCTCCATTATTTGCTTCTCAGAATTTTGTACTGTCCTGCTCTTGTCACACTGTTTATGTGTTTGTCCCTCCCACTTGATTTAAAAAAAAAAAAAAAAAAAAGGCCATCTCTTACTCATTTTTATGACCCTGAACCTGCCATAGTGATTAGCCCAGAGCAGGAGTCCAGCAAATGTTGACTGGATAAATGCTAATGTCTTAAGCTAAGCTCCTCATCTTTCTTGCTTGGTGGGTTTCTGAAAATAACAGTTAGTTGCCTCTTCAACATCAACTATGATCTTCTGCTTTTTCTAAGAGGATCCTGAATTCCACCCTCCCTGTAGTGATTCAGGCATGGTTATGTGACTGAAGAAGAGATAACCCGAGGAAACCCAGACCTTTTCTGACTGTTTAGGGAAGCTAAATATCTCACAGTGGAGCCCACAGACCTGATTAGTGCTGGCAGCCATTTTATAAACAGAAGCCAGATTTAGGATGAAGGTGACACAGTGAAAAGCAGACTGGACAGAGAGTTAGAAAGGACATTGGTAATATAACTATTCCACTAGGTTACAACTTGCCTGAAACCCATCTTTTATTTGGACTTATAAGTTAGAGAAGATAATCCATTCCCTTTATTGTTTTTAAACTTGCATGAGTTGAGTTTTCTATTATTCTTAACCCATGGCATTCTAAAGGGCATTTCTCCCATGTCAATTGTTCTGAGTTGCATATTTAGGTCTAACATCAGACTCAAGGGTAAAAATTATATAGAGTACTGACTTTTTTCCAACACGGCAAATGATAACTGTTGGGCCTTTTTTGTTTTGTTTTTCCCATTTCACACCAGAATAAGTCATTGGATTATATGTATAAAAAAATCCTTTTCTTTGAACACCAGGATCATAATTAACATATTGAAAGGTTCACACTGTAAGAGCTCAGTTGAAGGAAAAGCAAATCTCTAGCTCCCAATTCTAAGGCAAACATCTTTTTCACCAAGCAGGTGCTCTCTGTATGAGCCCCTCCAGTTTCTCACTCAATCACTAAGCACATACATTGACTCTGCACAAGTCAAATATGTGCATGATCTGGCTCCACCATACTCTCTACCTTTGTCCAAAGACCATCCTCCCCAGTCAAGAACCTTGGTCTTAATTTTCAAACTCTTTCTTCCCTGATTTTTATCTCCTATCCCTTACCAAACTTTACCTTCTATTCCTTTCAAATTACTTCATATTTTCCAATTCCTCTTCACTCCAGCATTTTCCTTGCTGTCAACAAAACAAGTCACACTGGCCCAATCTCCTTGCTTTTGCTCTTACTTCTTCAAATTTGTCCACTCTCTTAGGGCCTCCCCGGTGGCGCAGCGGTTGAGCACTGGGCTGCGAAGCTGCCCGCAGCCTCTTCAGCATTCATTCGATCCTGGCCACCAGCGAGGGTCCCACATGGCGCGCAGACCTCTCCTGCTGTGCCCGCTGCTTCCCTCAGCAGTGTATTTCGTCAGTCTGCCTGTTCTGCTCTCCGCTCTGGCTCTGGTGAATTCTCTCACCCTCCCACGCCTCTGACTGTACCCAGTGCTTGTATAAATAAATAAATCTTTAAAAAACAAAATTGTCCACTCTCTTGGTCTAAAACTTTCCTTTGTTATATAAACAAGTCTGCAGTAATGAACTTAAAATACAATGTCTTAGAACCTAAGTAACTTGGTGGAACTACAAAACTGAATTGAATCTAGAAAAGACGAAGACCCAGAATTAATTTTAATTGGGTATTAGGAGAGGGTTAAAGACCAGGATTCCTTCCACCAATCCTGGGAGGATATGTATATCCTAACTACAATGTAGGTTTGTAATACCTAGTTGTATTATGATCCTTGGGTCAGATTTTTTTGTTTAGAACTAGGGATTTTGAGAAAAACAAGACCATCTCTATACTATATTAAGTTCCATAGAAGTGATCTGGGCATACCTCAGATTAATTAATAAAAATATTATTCTATAACAAAGAGGTATAAATATTCATAACAAACCCATTAAACAGAGACTATGAATTGATTAGCATGAATTTAGGATAGGTTTTGTTGCCTAATGACATCAGGTAAGGTCAGATTTTGCTGCAAATGAATTACAAAAAGAAAAAAAAATGACAGTTCTCATTTCAGAGTTTTGGGATTTGGAAATTTCAAATAGAGGCTTACGTACTTGGTTAAATGCTCATTTGCTATTACTACCCAGTGTGCGCATAACACACATTCCCTGCTGTTAATGAAGGATAGCAATGCTGACAGTGTTAGTATCTTTATGTTTAATGAGATCCCGGTGGCTTAAGCAGGAGACTCAGACACATTCTCCATCTTTAACGGGAGTCAGGAGCTTTTCCTTTACTTTCGCAGCACTGTTTGACCAAATGAACTATCTCATTCGCAGAGCTCAGCTTGGTTGTAAGACTTCTAAGTTCACCCTTCCAGGGAATGGTTCCATTACTTCCTGGACTGGCTCTTCACATTGTCCATGTTGCCGGCTCACTGCAACATGGCTGCTCCCTCCGTGAGGGTTCTTCTCTTTTCCTACACATATCTCAATAGAGCTCTGCATTCTGGTACAGCCCTTCAGCCTTCTCTGGTACATCTCAGCTACCTATCTATAAGGCAAGGACAATAGCCAGCTCCTTTTACAATTCAGGTTCTTAAATATTTAGGAAAATCCTGCACCCAAATAAGAAAATGTCATTCGGAATCTCCAGTTAGCAAAATGCACCAGGCAAAAATCATCTATGCTCTGCAGGCTTGGGGAAATATTTTACCACAGAAGAAACAAATAAACTAACTAACTAACTAACTAACTAACTAACTAACTAAAAGATGATAAGGAAGAAGAAGAAATTAAGACCAATATTAAGATATTTTACTTTGGCATAGATAGATTGCTGCACCGAAACACCCGCCGAGAAAGAGAAAGAGAGAGAGATTTTGTTTTCCCATGCTGGGGCTCACCTCTCACTCTACAGGGCCCTGTCCCAGGGATCGTCAATAACAGCTCTCTGTGGTCAATAACAGGTAATTCTAGATCAAAAGAAGGGTTCTGAAATCAAGATGCTGTTTTTGAGATCAATGGTTCTCTAGTGGAATCCCGGGATTCTCTGGTGGGTCTGCAAAGATTCTTCTAATCATTTTGTGGGCTGGGTCAAAATACAAGGGTAGTTTTTTTCTTCCCTTTGAAACATATTTTCCACTGCTGATTTTAATCAAAACTTAAAAGCAACAAAACAAAAACAAAATGTTTAAAGGGAGCTACAAGTAAACACAGAGGCTCAGCAAAAACACCTCACTGGCTTGTTTATTTAATCTAATAAATAGGTGAGACTCTTTTGCTCTGTTCAAGTAGACTAAGGACTAAAAATTTTTTTTTTTTTTTTTTTTTTAGAGGCATGTTTTTCTTTATTTGTTTGTTTGCTTGTTTGTTTGTTTTGTTTATACATGCACTGGGTACAGTCAGAAGTGCGGGAGGGTGAGAGAATTCACCAGAGCCAGAGCGGGGAGCAGAGCAGGCAGAAGGACCGAAGTACACTGCTGAGGGAGCAGCGGGCGGCAGGAGAGGTCTGCGCGCCATGTGGGACCCTCCTCCGGTGGCCGGGGCGCAGCCGGGGATCGAACGGCGCTGCAGAGGCCGCGGGCAGCTTCGCAACCCAGCGCTCTACCGCTGCGCCACCGGGGAGGCCAGGACTAAAAATTTTAAGACTCACCAGTCCCATGAAAAGATGAACTTTGTGAAACTTACCTTTTTGAAGGGAGAAAACGTAGGTTCTTTCTTTTCAGTTTCCCATTGTCATTTAAATGCTGTTCCTTTCTTTTTGCACCGCTTTCTAGTTCAGTGCCCACAGCTCTGAAGTTAGAAGTAGCCACTGTCAAGAAGAATCCGTCTCTGCTGCCATGGCTGACTTTACTCAGGTTTTTCTTCCCGGAAGCAGGGACTCAGGTGTGAGGTGAAGCGGATGTCAAGTGCTGCTGCAGCTTGGGAAGGTCTGATATTCCACTTTCTAGTCCCACAGCAGGAATTAACCCCAAAAAAGCCAGAGCTGCTGGAGAGGAGTTTTTATGAGTTATCTAAGGATATTATTGTTATCTATATAGCACAATAAAGTTGCCAAACCATCCAGGCTGCTCAGATGTCATGAGACAAATTTAGTTCTTATGGCTAGGTCTCTCTGTAATAAAGTAAAATGTACACTCAGCTATTTGCTGGATGAATTTCTTAGGATTTCAAAACATAATCGGCTGCCTCCACCAAAAGTAAATGGTGTGGACCGTGTAAATCAGAATGAATTTGGAAGCCTCTAATTGTTTGCTGAAGTGCTTGCAACACCAGTTACCTATCTGGATAATTCTGTCAAGTGTACAAAGTGTTCTCTGATAATTTGAATGCCACCCTGAATCACCCAGATGCTGTTAGCTCTCTTAATCCTTTGGTACAGACCTTCCCAGAGGATACAGGAAGCAATATTCTTCCCACCTTGCTTGATAAGGTAGAAACAACATGTTTGCTCTTTGAATGTGATTGAAAAGAAGAGAGAAAAAGAAAAAAAGGGAGAAAAAGAAAGACGAACCTTAACATCTGCATGGAATTTATTACATACCTCTCTGGACTCTCCGGTTGTTGAAAGTTTCGGCTAATGATTCTCTCTTCCAAAGTCTGCAGAGGCTCAATGGCTCAGCCCACAAGAGAATGAAGTTTTGCTGCCAGTTGCTGCAAGTTGGTTTAAATAGGTTGTCAAGATGCTGTAGCTGTGACCAAACCCCTAGCAGGAGAAGGTGGGGCAGCACAGGGCACGTAAGCATGCTCATGTGCTTCCAGGTGGATACCTCGTGGGAAGGCTATTTGCCACTTCTGGAGACAATGGAGGCTCTCTACTGTACTGCACAACATCGCAGTCCTAGAATCTGCCTCATGCAAGTAAAATCCACAAAACCATTCGTATTTTGAGGCTATATATATATTTGATTCTTATTATGACTCATATTTCTGGACACCTAAGGTACAGCAGGAAGATCTGAGTATCAAAATTTGGGTTCAGCTGTGACTGACACTTACAAGGTCTGAGCTAATTTATCTCCTTCTCTGAGCTTCAAGTTCTTTATCAGTAATGTGGATAAATAATATCCTCAGTGGAGATACTGGGGAATGAACTGAGATAATTATATGTAAAGGGCCTGGTGGAGATGCATGCACAGAACTGCGTATGCATATGGGGAGCACATTGTGGCAAAGGAGGACTCCATTTGAGGGGCCTCCCTGGTGGTGCAAGGGGTTAAACACAGCACTGTGAAGCAATCCACAGCCTCTGCAGCATGAGTTCAATCCCAGGCCAGGGAGCAACCCAATTGGTGCAGCTGACCTCTCCTGTCTCACCTGCTGCTCCCCTCAGCAGTGTATTTCAGTCAGTCTGCCTGTTCTGTACCTCACCTGTCTCTGGTGAATGCTCTCACCACCCCCACCCCCTGCACCTCTGGCCTGTGCCCCAGTTCTTATATGCATAAATAAATAAATCTTTTTTTTTTTAAAAAAGGAGGACTCCATTTGAAAGAATACCTCACAATTATAAGGGGACCCCAAGGAAGGGGCTCAGTGATTTCCAAGTATTTTTGTGTTACTGAAACCTTCTAGAGCATATTTGTCTTAAGTGAAATAAGTCAGACGGAAAAAGATAAATGCCACATGATTTCCCTTCTGTGGAAGATAAAGAAACAAAACAAATGAACAAACAAAGCAAAACTGAAAACAAACCCTTAGATTCTGACAACAGAATAGTGGTTACCATAGCAGAAGGAGGGTTAGGAGGAAAGAAGGGGAAGGAGGGAAGGAGGGTAAAACAGGTAATGGAGGTCAATTATAAGTGTAGGATGAAAACTAAATATTTGGGGCCTCCCCTGGTGGCGCAGCAGTTGAACGCTGGGCTGCAAAGCTGCCTGCAGCCTCTGCAGCGCTGGTTCGATCTGGCGGCGAGGGTCCCACATGGCGCGCAGACCTCCCCTGCCGTGCCCGCTGCTCCCCTCAGCAGTGTATTTCTTCAGTCTGTCTGTTCTGTTCCCCGCTCTGGCTCTGGTGAATTCTCTCACCCTCCCGCGCTTCTGACTGTACCCAGTGCTTGTGTAAATAAATAAATAAATTTAAGAAAAAAAAAAAAGAAAACTAAATATTTGGTGATCACAATGCAGTATATACAGATGCTGAAATATAAAGCTGCACACCTGAAGCTTAAAAAAAGAAACAAAATAAATGAACAAACAACACAAAAACAAAAACAAACATTATGAGAGAAAAATGGTGTTACCGGAGAGGAAGGAGGTTGGTGGGTGGGTAATATGGTAAAGAGGGTGAATCATACATGATGGATGGAAACTAGCTTTTTGGTGGGGATCATAATGTAGCATACAGAGAGGCTGAATCACAGTGCTGTGTACCTGAAACCTGTGTGATGCTATAAATCAATGTCACTTCAGTAACTTTTTTAAAAAGATGGAATGGTGGAAAGGACACAGCTGGAAGTTAGAAAATCAGTGTTCTAATCCTGATTCTGGTAACAACAGATCTAGATAAGTTTGGGCAATCATTTAATCTCTTTGTGTTTGTTTCCTCACCCACATAAAAAACAACATTCATACTTTCCCTTTCCAAAGCACAGTATTTTTTTTTTTTTTTTTTATTTTTTATTTATTTTTTTTTAATTTTATAGAGGCATGTTTATTTATTTATTTATTGTTTGTTTGTTTTGTTTATACATGCACTGGGTACAGTCAGAAGCACGGGAGGGTGAGAGAATTCACCAGAGCCAGAGCGGGGAGCAGAGCAGGCAGAAGGACCAAAGTACACTGCTGAGGGGAGCAGCGGGCGGCAAGAGTTCTGCGCGCCATGCGGGACCCTCCTCCGGTGGCCCAGGAGCAGCCGGGGATGGAACCGGCGCTGCAGAAGCTGCTGGCAGCTTCGCAGCCCAGCGCTCAACCGCTGCGCCACCGGGGAGGCCCAGCACAGTATTTTTAAAAAGATTTATTTTTATTTATTTATGCCTACAAGAACTGGGATGTAGGCCAGAGGTGCCAGGGGAGGGGGAGGGGATTCACCAGAGCAGGGAGCAGAACAGGCAGATTGACTGAAATACATTGCAAAGGGAGCAGCAGGTGAGACAGGCGAGGTCTGCTATGCCATGTGGATTAGCTCCCAGGCTGGGGATCAAACTGATGCTGCAGTGGCTGGTAATTGCTTGATAGTGCTGGGACTTTAACCCCTGAGCCACCAAGGAGGCCCCCAAAGCACAGTATTATTGTGAAGCATAAATAAGATGGGGAGCTATAAAAATACAAAGATAGGTAGATATAAAGCATGGTCAAAACCTTCAAAAACAATCCTGTCAACCTAGCAGTGCCTAACATGCTTTGGGAAGCTTATCTAAAAGTTTAATCCTTTTTTGCAGTTGACAAGATTGAATCATAACTGGCAATGCAGCTGCTGGACTTAACCAAATTAGTCAGTTCCTTGAGTTCTGTGCATGATCATTGAAAGGCAATGAGAAATAACATCAGGAGATAAGCAAAACTTACCTCTGGGTTTTCTGAATTTCCTGTGAGTTCACAGTTGAAGTTTCTAGAACCAGGGCCATGTCTTTGATAGCTACAATTGAGGGGCCTGTTTGGAGTCAAAGGCATGGAGGCCTAGCTCCCTGCTCTGACCTTAGCATACAGTAGAACACAGGTCAGAGAGCTTGGAAGTAAGGGAAGGGGTCACACTGGCAACTTTGGGAACCGTAAGACAAAGCCCCACCCTCAAAGCACTTATTACCCATACTTCAAGAGCAGCCCAGCAAGAAATACACTCACTTCAAGAGCAGTCCAGCAAGAAAGCCATTTTCTTTATCAGAATTTTGAATTCCCTTCCCATCCAAGAAAATACCTGTAGAAGAAAGTAAGGAAGATCCTTGTTTATATGTTTAATTTTTTTCTCTTTGCTTTTTTCTTCCATGACCCAGAATCTTGCAGACCTGCCCTGAGTGAACAGGGAGAAGCTTATGGAGCTTATGGAGCAAGCTTTTTGCTCTGAGAACCAAAGTTCTACCTCCTTTTATAGCAAAGGGCTACCTGGAATTTTCCTCCCACTTCTGAGTTGGCCTGAGCCTGAAAGCAAAAGCATCTGCCCGAAACTCTTCTATATGGACATGGGGACATGTGAACATAGATCTTTCCCCACAAATGCTATCTTTTGTATGGAGTCACTTCCTATGGGAGAAGCAGGGAGGCAGCAGGTGGATGGTAAAAATTAAGTTCTTCAAGTGCCTGGGACTTGGTCTGCCGAGCAGAAGGCACTATTGGCTATCCCAGTTCCAGGAACACAGCACCTTTTCCCCAACTTGCCCATGAACAATCTCATGCATCAGGAAGGATAGGAATCCACTGGAACTAACACAGACCTAGCATTTAAAGTTCCCAGGCAGATCCAAATCTAGGCTTTCCATACTGAGTCCATGTAGTCTATCCTTCTAGTAGTCTTTAGAATGAATTTCTTTCTTTTTTTTTCTTTTTTAAAGATTTATTTATTTATGCATACAAGAACTGGGGCACAGACCAGGTGTGTGTGTGTGGGGGGGTGAGAGGATTCACCAGAGACAGAGTGAGGAACAGAACAGGCAGATTGACTGAAATACACTGCTGAGGGAGCAGTGGGCGAGCCAGGAGAGGTCTGCTGTGCCACGTGGGTAGCTCCCTGGTCGGGAATCGAACTCGTGCCACAGAGGCTGTGGACAGCTTCATGGGTTGCGTCTCAACCTCTTGTGCCACCAGGGAGGCCCCAAGAATGGATTTCTTTTTAATGCTTGTGGATTCTACCTCAGAATCTTAGATTCCCTTTAAGAGAAACTTTAGATATACAGTAAACAAGTAGATAAAGGATTGCTTGTTTAATATTTTCAAGACACGAGTTATATCAGTTCATTAGAGAAAAAAACCAAACAGGGATGGTTTTCATTTGGGGGACATCTGGTCAGGAGACTGTAGGGGATCCCGATGTTCCAGGGAGTAGGTACTACTATTCTTCTAGCATTTATTCAAACTTTGACCAGTGTGGCCAGAGGAGAGTACAGGTGGGCCAGTAGCCCAAGGACAGGAGGCTCCTTACGCAGGAGGGCTGCCTCACTTGTGAGTATAGGGCTGTCAGTATTGGGGTGGACACACACTCCTCATCCCCAAAAGTTTGTCCCTTGGCTGGCCCTCCTTCCTCTAATTGTTCTGTCCCTGTGATCTTTACTGCAAAGCAAACCATATGGTTTTGATTTTGGCTCCTTTGCTTATGAGCGTGTTTCATGTCTCTAGCAACAGGAAGCCCTCCAGCCTCTTTAAGCAGCTGTTTTGCTATCTACGAGGAGGCCAGCTTTTTTGGACTGTCTTACCAGCTAGACACAGCAGCCCAGTGGAGGCAATGTGCAATGTGGAGGAGGGACAGAACCTAGTCCTTCTGGAAGAGAAAGGGAAGGGAATTACTATGCAATAGAAGGGACTATACTAATCTCACAGATTGGTGCTATAGTCATATAGACTTAGATGAGTGTCAATGGGATTTGTTGGAAGAAATTCATTGTGGTAGTAGGGAAGGTGAAGGCAGTCACTTCTCAGTGATCAAAGCTACTTCTGTGTGAAAAGGGTGAAGGATGGTTACAGTTCTAAGGAAAACCTTAGTGATTTTGTTTATGTAATGCAGAAAGCATTGAGTCATTTGGGCTTATTTCGGGGTCTGGGCACATCCTGAGCTTTCCACCTGAAATGTATATTCAGCAGATCACTATATGGCCATTTCCTTCTTGTCCTCCAGATTTCAGCACCTTCTTTTCAGAGAAAGCTTACTTGACCAACCTCTAAGGTGCTCCTACTTCACTCCTTATCACATCACTATTCCCTTCCTAGAACACATCATTTTCTGAAAGTGCCTTAATTCATTATTTTTCTTTAGTCTAGTTAACCAACCATAACATAAGCTCCATGAAGGTATTTCATCCATCGTGCTCAATACTGTTATCCTCAGAGTCTAAAATAGTTCCCGTAGAAGAGCATGTATTCAATAAACATGTTCTGTATGAGGGAATAAATGAGTTAAGTGTTAGGGGTGGGACAGCGAGCCAAGGCAAGTCAGGTGAAAATCAGAATGGGATACATTCGGCCAGAAAGAATAGAAATGATGAGAAGAGGAAACTGGCACCGGTAACCAAATCTCCTGAGAAGTAGAAATAGAAAGTGAAAACTAAAACCAAAGTTTGTCTGATGCCTTCCAGCTTTCATTACATTCAACAAACATTTGTTAAATACATCTATGTACCCACACTATACTAACTCCTGCAAATGCAAAGATGAATGAAGTCGTAGGTTGAAGAGGATGGGAGGGTAAGTAAAGCTAGGAGTTGCTCTTCCCTGAGTCCTCAAGCCATTCACTGAATTCACCATCTAATATGAAATATCCAGCTACATGAAAGTAGGATGGGTCTATGAGGAATGTTAGTGACCTGCAGTAAGGGGAACATGTCAGAGGAAATTATAGAGGACATGACATTTGATAGGTCTGGAAAATAAATGAAGAGTTCATCAGGTAGAGAAGGAAAAGGGGATTCCAGGCAAGGAAATAGCACTAGCAAAGGTATAGAGGTATGGAAGTACTTATTTTTTTTGAAGATTTATTTTATTTATGCATACAATAACTGGGGTGTAGGCCATAGGTGCGGGGGTGAGAGGATTCACCAGAGACAGAGGGGAACAGAACAGGTAGATCTACTGAAGTACACGGCTGAGGGGAGCAGCAGGCGACACAGGAGAGGTCTGCTGTGCCATGTGGGTAGCTCCCTGGCTGGGGATGGAACTCTGGCCATCGCGGTCATAGCGCTGAGACCTAAAACCTAGGCCACCAGGGAGGCCCACATTTACGTTTTTTAAGGAGATTTGTTGAATCAAGTGAAATGGTCCTGTGACTTCCTGGCTCTTTACCACGTCTCATCTTCGACTTCATGTCAATCATGTCACATACACACACACACACACACACACAAAAGAAGAAAAAAGGAAATCAACAGATTTTTGCTTTAAAAATCAGCCCAGGGTCACACAGGTGAGACTGCAAGACTGTTTTATCTAAAAAAGGTCAAAGAAAGAATTTCCTGAGACTGCCTCTGAACAAGATGTTGCCAAGGAGCACTGCTGTCTCTGAAGGCAACCAGGTTCTGCTTCCCCTCTTCCACAGACCTCTGGATGTTAAGAACCTCGAATGGGGATGACTATGTGCTTAAGGAGGTGAGCAAAGGCACTAAAATTTGGGAGCCTCATGCCCCATCTAGGCCTTAGAGAAAGGGTCCTAGGATAGACCACTGTCATGGACAAATGAACACCAAGTGTGGCAGAAACTAGAGATGTCTTCTCTCAAATACCTGTAAGCTCCTAAAAAGGATCACGATTGGATTCCCCCCACCCCCCACTGGTGAATGGGAGCCAAGGATATTTAATTTAGAAAACTAAATGAATATAACATTGTCACTACCTGTGTGTCCTGATTATAGTACCTATTTAATGTGTTTAACAATAGCCTTTCACACTTTCAAAAATGTATTTTTTCCTGATTCAAAGCCCCACCCCCCACCTTGATTTATTTAAGCTTATCTCTCAGGAGTTGGAGGCTAGATGTGTTTCACGATGTATGTGTGTGTGTGTGTGTGTGTGTGCACGCAGATGTGCCTCACACCCGAGCACAATTCAATCAAACTGAATTGGAGCCTTCATCAAAGGCAGTCATTCCCTGCAAGTAGGAGGAATGGGGGTTAGGCAGACTGGCACACAGAACCCGTACTGCTCAATTCTGGTGCTGTGAAACCGCAATGTGAAACTCATTCACAAATCTGCACTGCCCCCACGTGGCCACACAGACTCTGCTCTGCGCTTGGTTTGAGGAGCAGCTTATCTGGGTTGTATTGTCTCTTCCAGAGGGAGTTCTTTTTCTTTTTTTTTTTTTAATAGAGGCATGTTTTATTTATTTATTTGTTTGTTTGTTTGTTTTTGTTTATACAAGCACTGGGTACAGTCAGAGGCGCAGGAGGGTGAGAGAATTCACCAGAGCCAGAGCGGGGAGCAGAGCAGGCAGAAGGACCGAAGTACACTGCTGAGGGGAGCAGCGGGCGGCAGGAGAGGTCTGCGCGCCATGCGGGACCCTCGCCGGTGGCCAGGGATCGAACCGGCGCCGCAGAGGCCGCGGGCAGCTTCGCAACCCAGCGCTCAACCGCTGCGCCACGGGGAGGCCCCCCTTTTTTTTTTTAAGATTTATTTATTTATGCATACAAGAGCTGGGGTACAGGCCAGAGATGCGGGGGCGGGTGTGGGTGAGAGTATCCACCACAGATAGAGTGGGGAACAGAATAGGCAGACTGACTGAAATACACTGCTGAGGGGAGCAGCGGGCTAGACAGGAGAGGTGTGCCTTGCCATGTGGGCTGTGGATTGCTTCATAGTGAGGCGCTTAACCCCATGTGCCACCAGGGAGGCCCTCTTCCAGAGGGAGTTCTTTGGAGACCTAGTAGAAGAAAGACAAGTGGAGAAGCCAAGACCCACAATCACCAATTTGGATACTAGAATATTTAAGGGGTGTCTTTTTACAATTTCACTACATAATTGTGGTCACTACATAATTGTTGGCATAAATTTAAAATTGAAATATTCCTCAGTGGCACCTCTGGGAAGGAAGTGAGGTAAATACTCTGAGAAGTCACAAGAATTTCTTTCTTCAATCCTAGGTTACACTAGTAATACCAAAAGAACCTGTGCCTGAATCCAGACCCACTTCAGAGAATATTTACAATGTTCAGGCCATCAGTGAACTCCTAACTAACAGAGCCCAGCCTAGAAACTTTGGAGATGGCAGTGGATTTAATCTTACAGTGGAAAGAAGAATATGCTAAGTCATATGTCTGGGGGCCTCCCCGGTGGCGCAGTGGTTGAGCGCTGGGTTGCGAAGCTGCCCGCGGCCTCTGCGGTGCCGGTTCGATCCCCGGCTGCTCCCCGGCCACCAGAGGAGGGTCCCACATGGCGCGCAGACCTCTCCTGCCGCCCGCTGCTCCCTCAGCAGTGTACTTCGGTCCTTCTGCCTGCTCTGCTCTCTGCTCTGGCTCTGGTGAATTCTCTCACTATCCCGCGTTTCTGACTGTACCCAGTGCTTGTATAAACAAAACAAACAAACAAACAAACAAATAAATAAATAAAACATGCCTCTATTAAAAAAAATTATAAAAAAAAATAAATAAATAAAAAATAAAAAACTAAGTCATATGTCTGGCTTTTCTAGATGGCTGTTAAGAAACTAAGTACCTGTACCAGGAACATGACAATACCAGGCCCATATTATACTTATTTATTTATTTAAAGATTTATTTATTTATACAAGCACTGGGGTATAGGCCAGAAGTGCGGGAGGGTGAGAGAATTCACCAGAGACAGAGCAGGGAGCAGAACAGGCAGAAGGACCAAAGTACACTGCTGAGGGGGCCAGTGGGGGAGACGGGAGAGGTCTGCCTCACTATGTGGGAATCTCCCTGGCTGGGCAGGAATTGAACCGACACTGCAGAGGCTGCGGAGAGCTTCACAGCTGTGCTCAACCCACTGCGCCACCGGGAAGGCCCTACATAATTATTTATATGACTAACTCTTTGAAGTAGGAATCCTCTCTTATTCCTATGTATTTCCCATAGGTACCTACCAGGTTGTTTGATGCATTAAAGGTGCCATTAAATTGGTGTGAATTGACTCGATATACCAGAAAAAGAAACTGAAACCAGAAAAATGAAACTTAACATCACTAGAGAACAAGACTAGTCTGATAAAAGAAATAAAAGAAATAAAGTTGTGCAGATTTCTGTGCACCATACTTTGTTCACCTAGCTTTTTATCTGTGGGCTTTCACCATCTGTTAGAAAGTTATCATTGTATTCAAGAAGACTATGTGGGCCTCCCTGGTGGCACAGCGGTTGAGCGCTGGGTTGCGAAGCTGCCCGCGGCCTCTGTGGTGCCGGTTCGATCCCCGGCTGCTCCCCGGCCACCGGAGGAGGGTCCCACATGGCGCGCAGACCTCTCCTGCCGCCCGCTGCTCCCCTCAGCAGTGTACTTCGGTCCTTCTGTCTGCTCTGCTCCCCGCTCTGGCTCTGGTGAATTCTTTCACCCTCCCATGCTTCTGACTGTACCCAGGGCATGTATAAACAAAACAAACAAACAAACAAATAAATAAATAAAAAACATGGCTCTAACCAAAAAAAAAAAAAAAAAAAAGAGGGGAGCAGCAGGCTCCCAGATAGAAGACTATCTGGGAATATATTATTGGTAGCATAACTTCTAAGGTGCTGACAGGAATAGTCTTGTTCCTGAAGCCACGGCTAGTTACCAGGAAGTGATAAGACTTCTTTCCCACCCTGTAGGATGGGTATAGGCAACATCATGCCACTTTCCATTCGGTACCACCAAATGGCTGGAAATTTATCTCAAATTTCCTCTGCCTAGGAAGAGTGTTATTGCTTCGGTAGGTTTGTTTCCCACTCAATTGTTAAGCCCTCTGTGTTTTGTTCCCTTTCTTTGTCACCTGAAATATGCCCATTTTTTTCTCTTTTTTTCATATATAGATTCCTTTTCTCACCATAGAATGGGGGTTGTTCGCATGTGTGTGATCTAACTCTTGGGGTCCCTGAGAACCTATCAGTAGGTACATGAGGTCAAAATGATTTTCAAAATAATGCTAAAACATTATTTGTCTTTTTCACTCTGATTCTCTTACAAGTGGAATTTTCCATATACTATATAACATGTGCTATCACAACAGGCTAAATAGAGAAGCAGACATGAGAATCCAGTTGTCTTCTTTTTTTTTTTTAAGATTTATTTTACTTATACAAGAACTGGGGTACAGGCCAGATGTGCGGGAGGGTGAGAGGATTCACCAGAGACAGAGCGGGGAACAGAACAGCCAGAATGACCGAAATACACTGCTGAGGGGAGCAGAAGATGAGACACGAGAGGTCTGCTGCGCCATGTGGGATTCTCGCCAGCCTGCCGGGATCGAATCTGCACTGCAGAGGCTGCGGACAGCTTCACAGCGCTGCGCTCAACCACCTGCGCTCAACTATAGGAGGCCCCAGTAGTTATATTAAAGAGCAGGTTTATTAGAAAAGGGATAGGACAGTAAAAGACACTTGCATAGATACAAGCATGCAGAAAGAGCTGCTCCAAAAGGGACAGGTTTGCTAAGAGAGGCCTGCAAGGTTGCAGGTGGGCAGCATTGAGGAGAGCTGCCTTCACTGAGGGAGGTCAGTGAGAAGTCCCGGCATGGTACAGGTCATGGACAGGGGCAGGAAGGCTGCTGCCCTGCAGAGGGAGAGGGTTGGTGAAAAGAAGCACCTGCATGGTCACAGGTGGGCAGACAGAGTGCTGCTCCAGTTGTCTTTCATTAAGTCAAACATTAAAGCGATTCACAGAAAAGTACAACAATGCCAATCTTTTCATTACTATTTTGGGTTTTTTAAATCTTGGTTGCTTCCAAGATTATGCAATCATGAATAAAACTGCTATAGGGCCTCCCTGGTGGCACAAGGGATTAAGATGCAACTTATGAAGCTATCCACAGCCACTGCGGCACGAGTTCGATCCCTGGCAAGGGAGCTACCCATATGGCGCAGCAGACCTCTGGGGTATAGGACAGAGATTCAGGGGATGAGAGGCTTCACCAGAAACAGAGTGGGTAACGGACCAGGCAGACTGATTGAAATACACTGCTGAGAGGGCCTCCCCGGTGGCGCAGCGGTTGAGCGCTGGGTTGCGAAGCTGCCTGCAGCCTCTGTAGCGCTGGTTCGATTCCCAGCTGCTCCCCGGCCACCGGAGGAGGGTCCCACAGGCGCGCAGACCTCTCCTGCCACCCACTGCTCCCCTCAGCAGTGTACTTCAGTCCTTCTGCCTGCTCTGCTCCCTGCTCTGGCTCTGGTGAATTCTCTCACCCTCCTGCGCGCTTCTGACTGTACCCAGTGCTTGTATAAATAAATAAATAAATAAATCTTAAAAAAAAAAAAAAAAAAGAAATACATACACTGCTGGGAGCAGTGGGCAAGACAGGAGAGGTCTGCTGCACCATGTGGGTAGCTCCCTGGCATTGAACTTATGCCACAGAGACTGTGGATAGCTTCACAGTGCTGTCTTAACCCCTTGTGCCATGAGGGAGGCCCCGTAATTACTTTTGAAGCACCTATACAATATAGAGTAGTAGTTTGCGCAGGTGGCCCCATTAAAATAGAACGCTTATCTCATTTGGGCACAACTCGTCAATATTTTGCTTCCCAAAACCATCTAACTCTTATCTCCTACACCCGAGAGAAAGGCAATCAAAAGAAGAATCCAGTATTATGGTGTATGTGTGTGCGTGGGCGGGTGGGCGCACACGCGGGCACTGAAAGTGGTGAGGTAAGGGGTGAAGGTGAAGAAAAGACTGAAAATTATTATTTAAGGATGAGGGTATGAGAAAAGGTAAGCTGTCCCTAGAATATGAGTATACCTTTCAAATCAACATACTCTTTTCAGAGACTAGACTTTTTTTTCTTTCATAAAAGAGCAGCTAGTCAATCCTTGTACATTAAAAAAAATTATTTAATAGTAAAAACTCCACGTTATCCTGTGTTCCATCCATTCACCACACTTAACCCCAAAGGATTCTGATTTCTGCAAGCCTGAGGAGGTAGGACAAGCCCAGACAGCTTAGAAAGCAAGAAAAACCCTTCTTTTTGGGGACTGTGTTTTTCCTTTAGTTCCTGTCTGACTCAGCTACAGGAAGGAGAAGGAAATTGTCAATAGCTCAGTTACTCTACAGGAGGCACAAGACATTTGACAAATGTTTTCCTACCTTGAAGACAATCTGCTCACTCCTCAAATGTTTTCCAGTCAAAGTGAATTTCCACATCCCTTTAAAAACTTGCAGCTTTTCTACAAGGGAGACAATTCGTACCAAGTTACATTGAAGAAAATGTTTAAATCATATATAATCAAATGTATCCGGAGAAAGGAATATAGCCTGTACTTTGAAGTGTTCTTTCTAGGCTTTCTTTCACTTGCAAAGAAATTTGACTCCATCCAAGTCTCCCCTCCAGATGTCTATGAGAAAGAAAGGGACGGCACAAAGACATTTTTCCAATGGTAATTCCCAGATGTGAGCTATATGAAATGATTAAATGCAGCCCTCCTGTCAAATTCCAGAACAATCCACACTCTGAGTTCTCTTGACACATGATTTTTTGCAGTTTGAGCAAAAGTAGTCCAAATTTAGGAGTATGTGACAAAATTCCATCCTTTCTACCATTGTCTCTTCTTGTCCTAAAATGACTTTATTCCACCAAGTCATACATGAATTCTGTATGGGTTGTGACTAATTCTGATCTATCTAAGACTAGAATATATAACTATGCTTTCGAGTTTCATGATAATTAATATTTATCCTAATATTTGAATGTAGGTGACAATAAGAACAATAAAACCTATATAATTCTATGCTTCCTCAGTGAATGAGAAAGCATTTTTAGAAAAAGTTGCAAAGATAATATGAAATGGGACTGAGTATGGTGGGAGTGAATAAACCAAGTTGTATGGCAGGGAAGGGAATAGCTAGTTTGGATATTTTTTTCAGGCAGATTTCAAAATGATGCCTTAGTAGTTGGAGTTCAAGAAGCTCTGAAGAGGGCATTTTATTTATTTATTTATTTTTTTAAGATTTATTTATTTATGCATACAAGAGCTAGGGTGGGGCCTCCCATAGTGGTGCAGGCAGTTGAGAGCAGCGCTGTGAAGCTGTCCGCAGCCTCTGCAGTGCCGGTTTGATCCCTGCTGGCCTCGGAACAACCCATATGGCGAGCAGACCACTCCTGTCTTGCCTGCTGCTCCCCTCAGCAGTGCATTTCGTCAGTCTGCCTGTTCTGTTCCCCACTGTGTCTCTGGTGAATCCTCTCACCCTCCACACCTCTGGCCTTAACCCAGTTCTTGCATAAATAAATAAAAATCTTATAAAAAAACAAAACAAAAGCTAGGGTGTAGGCCAGAGGTGTGGGGGTGAGTGGATTCACCAGAGACAGAGTGGGGAATAGAACAGGCAGATCTACTGAAATTCACTGCTGAGGGGAGAAGCAGGCGAGACAGTAAAGGCCTGCTGCACCATATATGGGTTAGCTCCCTGGCTGGGGATCGAACTTGTGCTGCAGATAGCTTCACGGTGCTGAGACTTAACCCCTTGTGCCACAAGGGAGGCCCAGAACCCAGCTCCTCTTTTTTTTTTTTTTAATGAAAGTTTATTTATTTATTTATTTATTTGTTTTTTGGTTAATAGTATATTTTTATTTTAATTTTTTTTATTTTTATAAATTTTATTTTTTTAATAAATTTTATTTTTATATTCCCCATACAATTGCAACCCCCTTATTTTGACCCCAATCCCTCCCCTCCCCACACCCCCCACCCTCCATAGAGTGTCTCTGGTTCATAGTTGTTTGTTGATTTTCATTTTCACTTTCTTATAGTTATTCATTTTCCTGGCCCCTTATTTAAGTTTTCTAGATTCCTGCTATGAGTGAGACCATCCGGTATTTTTCTTTTTCTTTCTGGCTTGTTTCGGTGAGCATGATCCTTCCAGCGCCATCCATGTTGCTGCAAATTGCATGTGTTTATCTTTTTGAATGCTGAGTAATATTCCATGGTGTATGTGTACCACATCTTCTTGATCCAGTCATCTGTTTTTGGGCATTTAGGTTGTTTCAAAGCTTAGCTATTGTAAACAGTGCTGCTATAAACATAGGGGTGCAGGTGCTCTTTGGAATTGATGTTTCTGTGTCCTTTGGGTAAATACGTAGGAGTGGAATTGCTGGATCATATGGAAGCTCTATGTTTAGTAGATCAAGAAATCTCCACACAGCTCTCCATAGTGGTTGGACCAGTTTGCACTCCCACCAGCAGTGCAGGAGAGTTCCTTTTTCTCCACAACCTCGCCAACATTAGTTGTTGCTAGTTTTTTTAATATGTGCCATTCTCACTGGTTAGATGGTATCTCATGGTAAGTTTGATTTGCATTTCCCTGATTACAAGTGATGTTGAACATTTTTCATATGCCTGTTGGCCATTTTCATTCCTCTTCAGAGAAGTTTCTTTTTAGCTCTTCTGCCATTTTTTGACTGGATTATTTTCTTTGTTGTTGTTGAGTCTCATCAGCTCTTTGTAGATTTTTGTGATCAGTCCTTTATCATTAGTGTTGTGTGCAAAATGTTCTCCCAATCAGTGGGGTTTCTCTTTGTTTTTGTTATTGTCTCTTTTGCTGTGCAGAAGCTCTTTAATTTGATGTAGTCCCAGCTGTTGATCTTTGCCTTCACTATCACTGCTTTGGGTGATGTGTCTGTAAAGATGTCTTTGATGTGCATATCATGTAGTGTTTCGCCTATATTCCTTCTATGTATTTTATGGTTTCAGGTCTTATGTCTAGTTCTTTAATCCATTTTGAGTTTGTTTTTGTATATGTGTTGAAATAGTAATCAAGCTTCATTCTTTTGCATGTAAAACCCAGTTTCCCAGCACCATTTATTGAACAAACTTTCTTTGCTCCAATGCAATATTCTTTGCTCCTTTGTCAAAGTTTTAGTTGACCATAAATCTGTGGTTTTATTTCTGGATTTCTATTCGATTCCATTGGTCTGTGTGTCTGTTCTTTCCAATACCATGCAGTTTTGATTGATTGGCTTTGTAGTAGATTTTGAAGTCTGGGAGTGTGTGATGCCTCTATTCCCTTCTTTTTTTTTCAGGAGAGCTTTGGCTATTCGGGTTTTTGGTCATTCCATATGAATTTCATCAATAATTGTTCTATTTCTTTGAAGAATGACATTGAAATTTTTATTGGAATAGCATTGAATCTTGTATATTGCTTTTGTCAGGATGGCCATTTTAATAATGTTTATTCTTCCAATCATGAGCAGGGATGTCTTCCCATTTCTTTGTGTCTTCTTCTATTTCTTTTAACAGTGTTTTATAGTTTTCTTTGTACAGGTCCTTTACCTCTTTTGTAGATTTATTCCAAGTATTTGATTTTGTTTTTTGTTTTGATAATTAAAGGGATGGTTTTTTTGATTTCTTCTCTTCAGATTTATCGTTTGTGTTATAGGAGGCTACTTAACGTTTGCGTGTTGATTTTGTATCCTGCCACTTTACTGAAACTGATTGATGAGTTGAATTAGTTTTTCTGTGGAGTTTTGGGGTTCTCTATGTATATTATCATATCATCTGCAAATAGTGAGTTTGACTTCTTCTTTTCCTATTTGATTCCTTGTATAGTCTTTCTCTTGTCTTATTGCTCTGGCTAGGACTTCCAGTATTATATTGAAAAGCATTGGTGAGAGCGCGACATCCTTGTCTTGTTCCAGATCTTAATGGAAATGCTTTCAGCTTTTCACCATTGAATGATACTGGCGGGCCTCCCAGTGGCGCGCGGGTTTGAGCGCTGGGTTGCGAGGCTGCCCGCGGCCTCTGCAGCGCCGTTAGATCCCCGGCTGCTCCCCGGCCACCCGAGGAGGGTCCCACATGGCGCGCAGACCTCTCCTGCCGCCTGCTGCTCCCCTCAGCAGTGTACTTCGGTCCTTCTGCCTGCTCTGCTCCCCGCTCTGCTCTGGTGAATTCTCTACACCCTCCCACACCTTCTGACTTACCCAGTGCATGTATAAACAAAACAAACAAACAAACCAGCAAACAAATAAATAAAGCATGCCTCTAATAAAAAAAAAAAAAAAAGAGAATGATACTGGCTGTTGGCTTGTCATACGATGTTG